ATCTGTATCTTGCATATGCCAATATGTAAACACCGCATGATATGAATTCTTCTTGAATAGGAAATCTATCTTCCCAATATACTTCAAATTCTGAAACGAACTTTTTATGATTTATTTCCACGTTGTATAATCTGGATACATACACTTCTTTAAAATAATCCTTGACCATTTCCAGCAGGGTTATATGTTGTACAACACGTTGTAGAGGATCGTAGAAGAATATAAATTGTTTCCGGGGATCGATAACAATTACTGACCAGTGTCACCCATTTCCGATATTAATTGGTATTATCATGGCATCTTGCAAATCGAAGTATACAGAACGATAATGCCTTGATATCATTTTCATATATTCGTCTTCTTTACCTGGTGTAGTCACGAATCGTAGCTTGGTAATGAATTGTGTGGTAAATGCATAACATTGTATTCCCATACTTCTACATTTCCCTACTAAGAGTGACAAGTAAGCATCGATTATTGCATCATTTAGCCATCCTGGATCTTCTAATGTGTAAGATTCATTCTATTTATTAATTATGAGAATCACATGTACTAATTGATGTAAAATTGGATTAGCTTATTTCGCTATCGCTTCTATCTTCTCCCAGTACTCTGTTATATGTCTCTTGTAGAGTATCCCGGTCGTTTTTGGCATTATTTTCGTTATTATCTTTTGTGTCGGAATTACACGTGTCTTCGTTACTTATGTCATCTTTTATATCATTCCAAAATCCGAAGGGATTGCAAAATAACTCGTCATCAGTTGACTGGGTACTAAAGTCATGCTCGGAAATATTTTCAACGCTGTTGATCGGCGACAAGGTGTCACAGTTATCTTCGCAAGTGAAATGTTTAATTAGGAAATCACTTTGTTGACTTTTCTTTTCTACAATGTGCTTTTTAGACGTATCAGGGAAGATATCATAAACCCTGTTTGTAGTTTTGTCACTGTCGCGGATGACGTTTACGAAATTATCTCTATCCTGTTCATCGCACATACTATGTGAAATTGACAATTTGTCGTTTGCTGTGTACCACTGCTTACGAGAAACCTTACCTGCACATAGAGGACAAATATAAGACGTTCCGTCGGAGCAGTTGCTATACTTGTCGCCCTCATTCTTCGAAATTAAATTATTTAAGCCTACGCACCTAGGATGGTAAAACTCTAAACATCCAGATTTCTTAGCGTCGCATACAATGTAAAAGCCAGAGTCTTCTTTTTGACACAAGCACCAAACACTCTTGTTATTGCTTTCCGGAGTATATACTTTAGGTATACATCTTCTTCTTTTGGAAACTCTACTTTCCAAAGCATCTTTTTCACCGTTGTCCCTTTTCTTATGTAAGCCAACTTGGGTTTTTTCATCTTCATTGTTTTTCTTAGTACAACTGAATCCTTCTGTAACGTCATCTTCTCTTTGTTCATCGGTTTCAATATTCATCACAGTTTCAGTATCATTATCGCTTTGTTCTCCAGTAAATGTTGTATTCCTGTATATTGGGTATTCTTACGGTATCTTGGGTATTGGGTACGATAATTGTACTACCGTCATCGCTATTAGTATCATTAATTAAATTTTCAACTAGTGCTATATCAAATGGATTGGAAGTTCCAGCATCCTTGTGAAAAAATAAAATTGTATAAAATGAAATTTGCCCCAAATTTAAATACAATTGCATACACCGTATTGAGTATATTGTTATTATTATTATTATTATTATTATTGTTACTGTTACTGTTATTGTTATTGTTGTCGTTATTGTTATTATTGTTATTATTATTATTATTGTTATTGTCGACTTTATTAGGATCACACATTAATACATACGGTAGAATACAAAATTAGTACTTTAAAATAAACAGATAATGATCCTAATAGGCAAAGTATAAACAGTACTAGTGCAAGAACCATGCAAGATACCCGCCAAGAATTAAACATTAAAAACAATATCACAAACATAATAGAAATGATACAGTAAGTGACTATTTAGGATTTATGACACGAACAACATATCCGCGATTACTTGGTAAAGGCAATTAGCGTATCCAGTCAGATTATTCACAGATTTGCCTGATCAAATTACTATGCTGAAAATGAAATCTACCTTGGAGGCCGGCTATAGAATGTATTTACAGGAGCAAAATAGATTTCCTCAACATTTGGTAACATAGAAAATATAAGATTATATATAGAGCTAAAACATGCATGGAAATGGTACTGTTAATGATATATATATGGTACTGTTAATGATATAAAGTATACTACAAGGTGATACATTACAACTTTCATTTCTATCTATAAAAGCAACTTACAAGTAAGTGCCATATATAGTTTCTGCCCATATACTCATTTGACACTCAGGCACGCTAGTTTCAATTGCGCAAATTTAGCCTGTTTTGGATTTTCTATAGCAATTTGTATTCAGTGTTGGGAATTTTTTCTAATGATCCAGGGAGAGTTGAAATCCCCCTACACCCCCTCTTTCCCCCACCCGACACCTAGGGAACTAGGCAACAGGACGTCTGTCCCAAAATGCGCTGTGAGATCTTAAATTCTGCCAAGAAAAATCTAAAGAAGCATGATAAAGCATGATAAACATAATCACGAACAGAATCCTTAACCATCACTCAGAGTCTCTGGGGCCAGTTGTTCAAATGGTGTTAACTTTAGCGTAAATTAAAAAGTTATATAACGTTTGATATTCAATCAGAATAATTTCTGATTAAATCGAAATTAGAAATGATTCTGATTGGTCGTTCACGCAGTTTCAAATTTGAAATACAACAAAACGTTTAAGCGTTGTTGACTTATCCCAAAGCCTTTGTTTTCTCGTCAGAGAACAAGATTGATCCACCGTTTAATTAAGGACTTTAAGCTAAACGCCTTTCGAACAACTGGTCTACATTTTATATAAAATAACAATATTAAAATAAACTCACATGACCATTGGTGATGGGCATTTCATCGCTATCAGGACCACAGTTCTTCAAATAATTTATCCTTTCACATTTCGATCTTAAACCATCTCTGTCTTCAAACCAACGAACGTACAAATTCTTACGGACAAGAATCTTGTTTTTCAACCCTATCTCCAACACGACCTTGCCCCAAAAACCGCTTACAGACCTCCAGGACTCTCTCGGGTCACCTTCGACATTCGTTATTGCAGCGACAACTTTATCTATGTCAAAGTTATACTTCAAATTCCGGCCAACCGTCTTCTGTTAATAATGAATCAAGAACAAGTCAGTTAAAACCATTAATATCGCACAATGTCGATAACTAGACATATCTCGTGATAGTTCATTTTATTCTTATCAAATTAATCGTATAAAAAAAAAAATAAAGCGTAAAATAAATAAAAAAAACTTACCTTCATCTTGGAAATGTTTTTCAGATCAATAAAAACAGCAAAAATGTAGAGCGTTACAATAAAAATGTAGTAATAGAATAGTTTATTTCACTAAAAGCGAGTTATAAACCGTCGAGATCAACGATCAGTATCAAAAGACGTTAAATATCGCGTCATCAAACAAATTTATTATTAGGGAGATTTAGCATGAGGACGTGAACGTCAAATACGACGTGAAAATGGCGGGTAAATGGCGTGGCATGTCCATATTTGGGCGCATCACGCCATTTATTCGCCATTTTCACGTCGTCTTTGACGCTCACGTCCTTGTGCTAAATCTCCCTATTGTACACTGAACTCCATACACTCTGCATGGATAAGCTTAATTTATGCATAATAATTTATGAATTGTTACGTCGCATTACTGGCAAAAAGTCACAAAGCGTCCCACATGCGTTTCAGAATCGAACCTGACATAAGTGACGTTTAAACTTTGATGTCTGTCTACTCTGTCAGTTCCATTCTGCCGTTGGATTGTTACGGTGAAGGAACAAAGGAACCCATGTCTGAGCCGGATATAAATACAAAGAAGATGCCAACAGAAAGTGAGCTTCAACTTTATACATTAGTTGACTTTAATGCAATACAGAACAATTGTCTTTAGATTTTTTTGTATCTTATCCCAGTTCCGTAATACAAAATATTGTCGTTTCTTTTTAGAAGAAAAAAGCACGCTGTCAAAGACCGGCGGTAGCGGCGCCGAAGAAGAAAATAGGTTATTTATTAGACATGACTTTTCGAATTTTATTTAACGAAATTGTATAACATTTGTCTTGGGAAATACAAACCGGAATGAAAGCTACGGCTGAATAGTCAAATCGATTTGTCCGATTAATCTTGTAAATCAAATCACATATATATCGGAGTACTTATAGAAATATCGTTATTATTTTTGCTGTAACAACAAGGAATTCAAATAATTTAATTAGTGCAAGGTTTTCGCTTCGAATGATGCATGATCGAAACAGATTTCATAGCCATTGGCTTTCTACTGTATAGACGTACAACCCTCTGCTATTGCTTTTTCCAAATTTAACTTAAATTTAGAAATTTAGCTTAGATTCAAAATAGAAGGCAAGTCTTTTTTTACATTAATACAAAGATACAGTTGACTCATTAATGTAGTTTATATGTTGAGATTCTTTATAAGGATTTTGAACGTCTGGCAACTTAGCAAAGAAAAACACAATGAGACATTTTTGTGGCATATAATTTGGGCAGGAAGCGCTCGAAAAAAGGTCTAGAGGCTCTAATTAACCTACGTTTTTCCTAGAGGAACAGGAGGACCTCTAAGTTGCAGAGGGTGTGAGCCAGCTCTGTGCATGTTGTTCAGTGAGTTGAGACCTGATGATCTAGGGACCACCATTAGTTATACTGAGACAGTAAGGGCACTCAAAACCCGACAGAGCATGCAAAAACTATAGGTTTTTCTAGAGGAACAGGCGGACCTCTAGATAACAGGGGAACAGGCGGACCCCTGTTCAGGTCAGTCAGCTCGACTCAAATATTGTCTGACTGACCCATCGAGTCTCTAGGTCAGGTCATCAGGTCGCGTTTTCAACCAAAATGACCTGTACAAATGCACTTCACGTGGTGAGGTGTTGTCCAGAAGGACAGCACTTCCTGCCATTAATGGCGGTCTGCACAAAGTGCAAACCGCCATTTCCGCCACGGGAAGTAGCCGAATTAGAGTCCTGTCTTTCGACAGCAGAGAGGGCCACCCTAAAATGTCTTTAAAACACAATCTTGCAAAGGTGGCCGGCAATTGTGTGTATGTGGGTCCTTGAACAAACAGATTCGAAGATATCGTGCAGTTGCCGTGGTAGCATGACAGAACAAAACATACGGCAGGCTATGAGTTTGCAGGAAGGATCCACATACACACAAATAGGGGACTGGTGTTATACGGACTATACAGCAAGGAAGCATAATGATTGAGTTTAAAAGGTAGATATTAAAACAAAATTTTTAATGTTTGGTACTTGCAGTTAGTTTGTATGGAACGGAAGCTAAGACGTCCTTTGGAGTTCTAATGTATCTCTCGTAACAGTCTGAAGACCAACGTCCTAGCGTTTTGATGAGCCAGGAGGGTAGGCCGGCTGAGCCCGCAGCTGTAGCAGCTCCGATCCTGAAACTATGAGAGGCGTAGAGGTTTTCGGCCAGTCCTTGCCCTTGAAGTAGATGACGTAGATGCGATGTTAGGGTTACACGTGTAAGTGGGACACCTGATGTAAATTGGAACAGTGGACGAGGGGTTTGGCCAGACGATGACTGGAGTAGATATGTTTTCATAGCTCGAACCGGGCAGAGTTTATTACGCGATGAGCCGATTGTCAAACGGCATCCACGACGAAAAGGGTCGGTTTTGGAACGCTTGATCAAGACATCGTAATATTCTGCGTGGAGGATATTTGGGTGGAAAATAATGTCATTGCGGGATAGGTGGCACTCGGGATCGAATGGAGAATTACACGTGAATTCACTACAGCGCAGGAAGCCAAAAAAGGCCAGAGTGAAGGCGGCCCAAAGCATCACATTGTCTAAACAGTCTGTAAACTGAGGTCGTAGGGCAGAATGAAGGGACTCGAGTTCGGTCACAGTGATAGGCCGTCGATCCCGCAATTTTTCACCCTTGAGGCGCTTCAGACCTTTTAGACTTTTTTCTAATAGTTGCATGCTCCCCATGTCGAATGGGATTTGAAAATTTACGTGGAGGTAAGACACGCTAGCTAAGTATGTTTTAACAGTTGAATATGAAACAGATTTGGATAGATGGCCGACGAAGTAGAGCAGGGTAAGTTCAGTCGCAGGCAGTAAAGGTGAACAGGGTGTCACGATACCTTTTGCAAGGCAGAATGAAATGAATTGTTTTATGCCGGCGGCGTAGGTTTGTTTGGTTGATGGTGCCCATGAATGCTGAATAAGTTCATAAACACGGTTCTTTAAGTTTGAATCATGGATACTGGGATGACGCAAGGCAGAGGAGAGGCCAGCGGCGCTAATTGTTTGAAGCGGTCCATCTGAAAACGAGAGAGCGAGTCAGCAATGCCATTGTCAAGTCCGCGTACATGCCTGGCCGTAAATGTAAAGTTGTTTTGCAAAGTACAAAGAACAATCGGTCGGAGTAAGTCCATTATCTTCGGACATTTTGACGTCTTCTGATTGAGAATTTGGACAACGGACTCGTTGTCACAGAAAAACACAATGCGTTTTGTTGCCCATTGGGCACCCCAGAGACAACATGCAAGATAAATTGGGTAAAGCTCTTGCCATGCGATCGAAATACCAGTTTTGTTAGCGATATTTTGGCTGGGTAGCCACCGGCCCTGAAACCATTGTCCTGCTAAGTATCCACCAAAACCGATGGAACCTGCTGCATCGGTAAATAATTCAAGTGAGGGCGAGGGGGTCTGCCCGAGCTCAAGAAAAAGACTAATACCATTCCAGTGTTTGAGAAAAACTTCCCACATAGCTAAATCCTTATAAAAACCCGTGTTCAACTTCACAAAATGATAGGGCTGTTTAATACCACATGTAAGGGCAATCATGCGTCGGAGGAATGTGCGTCCTGGGGCAATGACTCGGCATGCAAACTGAAGGATCCCAATAAGAGATTGAAGCTCCTTTAACTTACAGCAAGAGCGTTTGTGCCATTGCGCAAGAAGGGTCCTAGCCTGACTTAATTTATCCTCGGGCAGGAGAGCCAGCATGTGGATGGAATCAAGAGTAATCCCAAGAAATTCTAAGGTTTGGGTAGGAGCAAAAGTTTTCCAGGTGCTATGGGGACATTCAGTTCAGTGAACAAACACAACAACTTACACAGTGAAGTCAGGCATAAAGGACGGGGGGCAGCCTCAGCGATAAAGAAATCGTCCAAAATATGGAGAACATTTGGAATACCTAATTTGTGTAGGAGAATCCATTCGAGGGCATCCGAAAGCATGTTAAAAATGTACGGTGCACTGCGAAGGCCGAAGGGAAGAACACGATCGAAAAAATACAGTCCCCGCCATTTCATGCCTAGGAGTTCCCAGTCATCGGGGTGAACTGGGATATTACGGAACGCGGATTGAACATCGGTTTTGGCCATGAAACAGTTCGGGCCTAGTTCAAGAAGGATTCTCATAGCGTCGTCAATTCGGACGTACTGTAAAGAGTAATCTTCGGATGAAATATTAGCATTAACGCTAGTGGTTGATGATTTTGGATAGGAAAGGTGAAAAATGGTTCTCCATTTGGATGAGTTCTTCTTAGGGACAAGGCCCAAGGGGTAGACTTGGAAGTTTGTAAATGGAGGGCTAGTGAAGGGGCCAACTGTGTGGCCTTGTTTGACTTCGTTGAGCAGGTTTTCATCCACTATTTCCGGCGACATAAGGGCCGTTTTAAGATTAGGTGAAACGAAGGGGTGACGGGGCCCCTTATACCCAATTTTAAAACCCGCCCTTAAACCCGAACAGAGGGCAACAACAAATTCGCGATCTGGGTGGTTAGTTAGCATGGACTCCAGGAGATTAACGTTAATTGGTGTAACTGGTTTTAATCTATCAACAAACTCTTTACTTGTGTTTTCTGCGACGCGGAGTGTCATCAGTTCTCGCAGAGCTGGTGTCAGCGTGTTCATATGCCGCATGCCGTCCGCCACAGCCGGATCGATTACACCGATGTTCGAAGGAACATGGGTTTGCTGAGCACGGGAGGCCCCCGTTAAAATTGCGGCAGAATCCTCGGTTGGGGAAATTGCTTGACCGGCCGCCTTCGGACCTTGATGAGGAAAGAGGGCAAACATCAGACATGTGATCGGCGCCGCCACAGACAAAGCAGATAGTGCGCGCGAGACCTGTGAACTTATCTAGCCACAGCTGGAGATGACGTTCGCCCCAATTGAGCGCTGGATGTTTCGCGGCGAGCTTGCGAAAATCTATGTCGTACGCATACCAAGCCAAACCTTTAAACTTTTGTGAAGCCTCTCGGATTATGCGCTGGTAGGCAAACAGCTGCGAAGCTTTGTGCGGAAATTTAGCGACAACAACCGAAGCGTAAACACCGAAGGCTGTTAGCCACTTATCAAGACTGTCGATTTTTGGACGCTTGCCGAAATTTGAGAAATTCGGAAGAGGTATCGAATAGCCCTGATCACCTTCGACTGACAGGCGAATTGGACCGAAAGAGGGGCGGTCTGAATTACCCGGGAGAAGCAAAGAGAAATCGACAAACTCACCGTTAACGATCTGTTCCTCGACTTTCTTAGGCAGACTGGGAGTCTCTGACGGTAATGAGGTGGATGACGAGTAAACTGGCGAAGACGAGATTAAAGTGGCAACGCTGGAAGGATTACCCAGATCGAAAGAGGGTGTTGGCGCGGACTGCGCGATAAGGCTCGCTGCTGGCGATGGTTGTGGAAGCGGTGGTTGAGGCGATGGTGGCGTGTCGCGGGCCAAAACGTCGCGGAGCAACGGTGCGAGGTTAACTGCCAACGAGCGGAGAGATTCAGCGGAAAATTGAGGCGTACTGGGAGTCGGATCACGTGGTGGTAGAGCTGGTGTTAAGGCTGGAGAATTTGCCGTTCTGTCGTGATCAGCAAGGCGGCGTAAAAGAACGTCACGCGAACCAGAAAGAGAGAGGTTTCGCTGGGCCAAGAGAAGATGGAGGACTTCGGTGGACATGTCGGCGTAGTTCGTGGCAGAACCAAGCGGCTGTTCGCTGTGTGGTTGGCCGCGTTCGACGTCTCGCCATTGGTTTCCGCCACAGTTTGTTCGTTTTGACGCGATGGACGAGTACGAGTTGAACGGCGCTTTTTAGCTTGCTTCGGCATTGTAGTTTTTGTTTATAGTTACTTTTGAAACGCAGATATATGTATTACTGCCTTTCGATAGAGACCTTTAAATATTTGACCGGCGTTGTGGACGCATTGGCTGAGGTCTTGCGAATGACCAATGCATGCATGGGGAGCAGGCAAAATCCTTGCAGAAAAAAGGGGGCCATTGTTCAAGTCCACGTGAAGGGAAAGACCGTCAGGGGAGATTCGATTGGCCGTAACACAAGTTTGCATACGTTGTTCACATGCTAAGATGCCAGAGTTCGTTCAGATTTTGGACTTTATAACTATTAACATGCCTGGTAAAGACTGCCTTGTTCTATTGAGGCCTTGACCTTGCCCGGGCTAAAATTAGTGCATGCGATAACTATGACAGCTAGGCCAGAGATGGTCCATATGTAGGGTGAAATAGGACCTTCTAGAACATATTACTCCATTAACCGCAAATTTATAACTTGCGTATAAATTTTTTATTTAAAGAGAGTTTAAGCTAAACGGGCTTACAAGCGGCCCTTTGATGTTTTTTGGGGCCGAGCTTGTTTTTCACAGCTTTTCAACAAGGAAGAATTAATATCGCACATAAAATCGCAGCAAAAATTGCAAGTATAAACAGGCCTTTTGAAAATGAGGATACAAATTTCTGCGCTACGTAACTACATATTCATAATTCATTGGCAGCCTGTAACATATATAGGCATGTTTCCTTTTAAGTTGTGTTATATTTTTGGAAAATTCTGTTTAGACAAAGCCGATGACGCGGAGCAAAGAAGATATAAAAGACGTGAGCTATAATCTTTTTTTTGCTATAAAAAAATTTAAAATCTTTCTTGGCCTTGCATATATTATTTAACTCATCATCATTGACATTGGCATCAAAATAGTTTTTGTCTATTTTGACATTCCGGCCCATGTCATAACTATACCAAAACATAACAAAAGCCCATTTAAAGATAGGAAATCTGTATTTATTTATATAGGAAGAGAGGAGGAAGACAGAAAGCGGCGTGAAGACAGTACGAGCATCAGTGCGCTGGCGTGAAGACAGTACGAGCCAGCGCACCGATGTCGATGATAGGCACCGGCAAAACGTGGAAGACAGGCGCCGGGATGATGATGGGCCGAGAGACCGTAAGATGATTGCTTCCTTATTTATAGTTAAAACAAAAAAAAATAATGGACAATTGTGTAACTCAGAAAGTAGATTGAGTAGAATCATACATACACATGCTTATACGATGTTACAAGCTCTGTCTGTGCTTACTTTATTACTGATAAATTGTTTGATAATTCCCCCAGTGACCGGTTCCCTTCTCTTAAAGCACTTTTTAATCTATATATTTATAGGTTACTAAAGGAACAGGCACGGAAGTGTTAAAAGTAAGTGTATCCAATTCATTATGTTGCTAGTTGAACGTGTTATGAGATTTACTGCTATTTCTTTTATGTTATATATTACATGAACGCATGTGCAACATGCTATAATAAAAAAAACTTATACATCAATTGACAGGACGCGAAATATGCAAAAAAACAGGGCATTTGAGAAGGAATTGCCCAACTGGACGAAAACCCGGTGACAGAAGGCCAAGAAGGAGTTGGCCAGATGATAGCCGGACAAACACTGGTGGTGGTGGAAAGATGATTTTTAACATTCACCTGTGAATGAAGTACGTATGAAAATAAACATACTCTGATAAACAAAGAAAATAAAGTATGTAGGTTCCCCAAAAAGCATAACATACCATTTGTCTATGTTACAATAGCTAACAATGTGATCATATTCTTGTTTTTTTTTCTTTTTTAGCTTCAAATATTCACATCAATTAGTGGAATGTGTTAATTTTTGTTATAAAAATTAAAAATGACATATTTGGTATCTGTGCTATGTAAGCTTTCTATTCATACCAGTTTGATTGAAAGTAAAGCCGTTTTTCAGTGTAAAAAGCGCTCGTATTTCAACGCGCATTTAACGTACATCACCATATGCGATTTCGAATGTCAGGCTGAAAGACCTCTGCGTTTTAGGAGCTCTAACATTCGACAACGAATTTGGGCCAGGATAAAAAGTACATATTCGGTATCTGTGTTATATAAGCTTTCTATCGATACCAGTTTCATTGAAAGTAAAGCCGTTTTTCCGTGTAAAAATCGCTCGTATTTCAAGGCGCATTTAATGTACAATACTGTGTTTGATTTCGAATGTCAGGCTGGGAGACGTCTGCGTTTTAGGAGCTGCAACATTCGACAACGAATTTGGGCCAGGATAGAAATTACATATTCGGAATCTGTGTTATCTACGCTTTCTATGGATACCAGTTTCATTAAATATGAAGCCGTTTTTTATTGTTTACTTTGCTCGTACTTCACGGACTTTTAACGTACATCATTATATGTGTTTGATTTCGAATTTCAGGCTGGCGGACGTCTGCGTTTTAGGAGCTGTAACATTCGACGACGAATTTGGGCCAGAATAAAAGTTACATATTTGGTATCTGTGTTATATAAGCTCTCTATCAATACCAGTTTCATTGACGTATTTCAAGGCGCGTTTAATGTACAATACTGTGTTCGATTTTGAATGTCAGGCTGGGAGACGTCTGCGTTTTAGGAGCTGTAACATTCGACGGCGAATTTGGGCCAGGATAAAAATTTCATATTCGAAATCTGTGTTATCTACGCTTTCTATCCATACCAGTTTCATTAAATATGAAGCTGTTTTTTATTGTTTACTTCGCTCGTACTTTACGGATTTTTAACGTACATCATTATATGCGATTTAGAATCTCAGGCTGGCGGACGTCTGTGTTTTAGGAGCTGTAACATTTGACGACGAATTTGGGCCAGAATAAAAGTTACATATTCGGAATCCCTGTTATCTAAGCTTTCTATCGATACCAGTTTCATTGAATGTGAACCGGTGTTTTTGGGTGCGTCTTTCGCTCAAATTTCAACGCGCATTTAACGTACATAATAATAATAATAATAATAATAATAATAATAATAATAAAGATTTATTAGCATATTCCACAAAGTGGCTCTTCTTACGCTAAGATTACAAATATAACTAACTATAACTATATATATATACAATTTAATAGACTAAACGCATGCATTGACTTTACTAAACAGTGAGTCTTTCTGCCGCTCTATTGTTAAAATGAGCCTTGGCTAATCTTATAAAACTAGAATAGTTATCACATGATTTGACATCCTCAGGTAAAATATTATAAACTTTAGCGCAACAGGCTTGAAATGTACCGTCTTCCAGGGGAACTTTTAATTTGTGTTCATTTGATGAACGAAGTGTCCTATTCGGTGAATATGTTTCAAGTTTTAAGTAGGAAGGCCACTGCCTTTCATGCATAGCTTTAAAAATAAGTTTTGATAGATTAAAATCCCTACGTTCAACAATAGGAAGCCAGCCTAAGTATAAAATTTCAGACATCGTGACAAAACGTCCCAAGACAAATCCAGCAGCTGCAAGTTGGACTCGCTGCAGACGTTTTATCAAATAGTCCGGGATTGGATTTGATACAGCATCGTTGTAGTCAATCTTTGATAGAATGAGCGTTTCAGCAAGTAGCTTTCTCACTCTGAAGGGTGCTAAATTTTTCATTTTCCTTAGTACTCTCAAACAACCGTAGCAGCCAGAAATTTTGGAATTGATTTCGTCATTCCACTTTAAATGTTCCTGGAAATCAGTACCGAGTAGACGTATACTTCCAACTCTTTCTAATGTTTGACCATTCACCGTTAGGTTGACCGAGTATTCAGCTAAATTATGAGTTCTTGCGAGCTGTGGTGTTGAAAATATCATTACCTTGGTCTTTTTTGGATTCAGGGCAAGATTGCACTCATTGGACCAAGATGACAAATAATCCATGGTTGATTGCAGCTGATTCTTGCAACGACCAATTTCGGTGGGTTTTCCCTGTGTATATAATGAAGTGTCATCCGCATACTGATAAGAGGTAACCCGGTTCAAGCCATCACTCAAGTCATTGACATATAGATTGAACAGTACAGGTCCTAATATGGATCCCTGAGGGACACCAAATGACACTTCAATTACTTGTGAGATCTTATCATTAATCTGGACAAACTGTTTTCGCCCTGTCAAATAACTCGAGAGCCACAGAAGATAAGGTTTAGAAAAACCTAACCGATGTAATTTCTTCAATAGGACTCCATAGTCGACTGTATCAAAGGCTTTCGAATAATCAGCTAAAACAGCCATGGTTACTTCGCCTTTTTTCATTCCACGCAATATATCATCTTTCATAGCCAACAAAACTGATGTAGTTGTATGTCCCTTTCGATATGCGCTGACCGAGTCCTTGAGAATGCACTCCTCATTATACATAAAGGCTGCCATTTGTCTCAATACTAGACGTTCAAACACCTTCGAAAGCACCGGTAAAATTGATATTGGTCTAAAATCGTCGTTTGATTTAACTTCCTTACACTTAGGTATAGGACTGATTCGTGCGACTTTCCAGGCTGAAGGAAACACCTTGGCGGAAATACAGTTGTTTATAATGTGTGTTAATGGGGATGATATTTTGTCATTAACCATTTTAATGAACTTAACTGGAATATTGTCAGATCCGCAGGAACAATCAGTCCGTAAGTGTTTTATCTCCGAGACGACTTCTTGGAATTGCACCGGCCTCAAAGTAAGTAGACTTGGAGAATCGTTCGGTAAAGACTCAACTACATTTCTTAGATAATCACAAGACGGAGGTATAGCTCCTGTGACACGCTGGGCAGTGCTTGCAAAATGGTTGTTAAGTTGATCAGGGTCACCTCTTAAAGGTTTAGGACTCGGGTTCAGAATTCTATGAATGATGTTCCATACCACTTTAGGTT